AGAATTAACTAATTAATGCAAATTCAAAAGGCGCAAATTCAAATGCTACCGGAGCAACCTAGACATAAAAGTTAGAAACTACTGCTTCTTTCCCACACAAAAACTTCTTTTACACCTTGCAAAAACCACCGAAATTCCAGGCAGTGAGTAATTTTTGAGGGAAAAACGGCTACTCGGGAATCAGTAGAAGGAAATTATAAAGTGGAAATTACAACGCTCAAAGCATGATTCATCGCCACAATAAATCTTTTAGTTACAGCCGGGAAATTTCCACCGCGGTCTGCTGTGTCAAAAAGCTGAGGAGGAAGTATCACTGGGGCGAAAAGATGAAAAATATGCAGGAGTAATTAAATGCAAACACGTAAGAACATCCGTTTGTTATGCATTTGCGGAAAAATTTCTTGTGCACACTAAAATTTCCCGCACAAGCAATTATGAAATGATGTTTTATTATAAATTGCAAAAAAAAAGATAAACACATGAGAATGAAATGGAGATCGTTGGAACAATTTTGTTAAAAAAAAAGATCGCGTATTGGACGCAAATAGCACACTGTGGAGTGATCACCCGGTAAAGCAGATGCACAAAAATGCTGCGTGTCACTTCTTGATAAGTCCGGAGAAAAACTTTGCATAGATCTGAAAAGCAATACAGTTACTCGAAATTACAGCAAAAAAATTATGTGGGCGGATGTTTTCGCCACGTGATCCTACAAAAAAATTAATATGTGCCACAATCTCAGCCCGAAAATTGTAAATCAAGCAAGGGATTATCAGCTCTGCTCAAATCCAAGCCCTGGACTGATACCCAAATTTATGAAAGCATTATGACGACAGCAGTAAAGTAAGAGTGCAAAATCTGGCCAATGGCAAAAAAAAGGGGGAAAAAAGTTGCCAATAACGAAGATATAGAGAAAAAAAAAATGGATTCCTCGCCGTGAACATATAAGATGAGAGGTATACAGGAAAATCACAAAACTGGAAAATTACTTTTGGATTAGCTGGAAAATTACTTTTGCTGGACTGGCAGTAAAGAACGCACGTAAAAAAAATTACGATGTGTTGCTCGTAAGAAGTATATGAAAATTACCATGACCCCCTGTAGATGAGGGAATTGTTAAGGAAGCGAACATAGGCTGTTTAACAGATATGCCACACCGGTCAGGTAATGGGCACTAAATCCGTATGGATGGAAGGACCTGGCACAGCTGCACTTGGTATGTGAATTCATCTCAGCTAAATTGCTAACACAGAATCTTCATCCCAATCATAGGTGAGATCTCTTGGCAATCTTACTGGAATGCTTTGAACTGCTCACAATACAAAAACATACACTCACACACACACACACACGCACACACACACACACACACACATACACATGCACATGCACATACGTGCATCATTACAGCTCTTCTGAGCGGAAGTAGTTTCCGAAACCCGCAATTGAAAACATACATTGTCATTTTGAAGATTAGTCGATAGCGAAGTCGACTGCTGTGCTGCGC